TCCCCCTCTCCCATGTCCCGCCGGAACTGTCAGTCCCGTTGTTTCCTCCTCCAGATTATTCATCCAGCTTGTCCTATCCAGACAGGCCTGTGGAGACAACATGCACAAAAACAAGACAGAGCAAAACCAAGCAACAATGTACACCAAAACAGCAACAACATCAAGCCACTGACAAAGAACAAATTAAAATATACCAAGAAAGAAAAGCTTGTGTTTTCCAGTCTAGCCTGTTGGGGCACCAGGCCCTGTTTCCATTGTCCACCCTCATCATTCCCTGGGCATCTTGCTACTCCCCTCCCCTGCTGTTCCGCTGCACTCCCCCAGTGCTTTGCCTCAGTGTGGCTGGGTCAGATCAGGTGCCATTTATCTCTCCACCCTTCAATTAATCCCACATGTGTTTATCGGCCAGGTTGGCACAATAAACTAACTACCTCAATCAATTATTTAAGAGTCTGCCTCTACTCTTGTTTTGACTCAAACCATTTATTTACTAAACCTGTTCAGCTTACTATTTCTAACACTCATAATACCATTTATTGTTTTCTGAGTATTAAAGTCAAGTAGTACCTTACTATGTTGTGCTTGTTTCAATTTACACTGTTAAAACATTACCAGCATCCTTTCCATATTTTTTTCTATATCTTTACCAAAAACTCACTGCTTAGCCTTTGTTCTTTTTCTTCTACTTCCTTTGATTTGGATTTCCCTTCATGCCCTAGATGTATCTAGCTAACTGCCATTGAGCATTCCCACTTTTAAAAAACATCAAGTTCATAATCTCTCCTCAAATCTGTCCCTCTTCATCATACGGCTTTGCTCATGCTATTCTCTTTGGAGTGCTCACTCTTTTCTGACTCTTCAACCTTTCCTACCCAATAAAACTCCTACTCAACTTGTAAAACCCAGCTCAAGTAGGACTGTTTCTGGTCAGCTTTCCCTGACACTAGGGCAAATGCTTCAGTAAGATGGTCTCCTAAAATCCTGTTCTTTTTCCTTGACACATAATTGCAAATTTATCAGTATTCCTATGGGATTAATATCTATAAGGATTTTAGAATATTTTATTTGGTTTACCTTACTC